CGCATCACGTGACACGCGAGGGTTGGGCCCGGGCCGCGCAGCAGATAGGAGGGCCGCCCTGGGAGGCGGGGCCTTGTGGCAGTTGGATGATGCCTCGCGGGAGGGGCCCGGGTGAGCGGAGGAAGGAACGCAGGCTCCAGGACCCCGCTGCCAGTTGTGACGTGTTGGACCTTTGAGAGATGAGGATGAAGCCCATTGAAGGTTATTGTTGTTAGTTTTTTGGGAACCAGTTCCTCAAAATTCCTTAATTCCAGCACCCTAGGCAAACTTCTGTAAATGCACTACACGCTTTCCTAGATAACCCACCCCATTCCGTATTAAGAATAGAGCAAATGGTTACTGTTATAAAGTAAATAAACGTCTGTTGAATGAATACTTTGTAGAAGGCAGTGTGTTGTAAGTAGATCACGGGACAACCACAATGGCACAGTCGTGTTGCTCTGTAGTCTAGGAGATCCTTACAAAAGGCAAACATTACTAAGACGTTTTGTGTATGGGTGCGTGGGTGGGTGTGTGCGCGCGCGCGAGTGCAGGTAAAGAACCTATAGCTAAATTGATGTGACTTTCCCAAGAATACACAACGAATGATAGAGCTACTTTTTATGAACACTTACCATAGCCCAAACTCCGTACTAAGCACAGAAGGAATTGTCCCCGCTGTAGGGGAAACCAACAAGAGAACACTTTCAAAGCAATATTGAGATGAAGCGTCTTTTCTCTCTCTCTTTCCAGTGTGCCACATTGGCTCTCAAGCTTTCTAAATGCAGCATTGCATACAAATAACACTTTTATTTAACATGCTTTACAGTGTGGAGTTAAAATAGCAAAGTATCTCTCTTTAAACTTCAATTATAGTGAGATTCAGTAATTTAAACAACCACATTCATATCTTTTTATTCAACAGACACTCAGTCAGCACTTACTATGTTACTAATAGCTACAGAGTCAGACTGAGCATGGCAATATATAGAAAAAATATATAGAAGACCGTCGCTAGTGGACATTTGTCTTCTCAGTTTTGGTTGCCCAGCATCTGAAATCCCTTTCCATGTTTGGAAGATCTTCCATCATGGTTGTCATTAGTGCAATACGCCATATATATCCAGAATCTTCTGGACACATGGTAGGATTATACTTTCCACCCTCCTTAGAATTATGTGTGGCCATTTGATTTCCTTTAGTTAATAAAATGAAATTGGAAATAAGTTTTGTCATAGCCAGTTGGTAATTTTAAAAGCCAGTTCACCGAGTGTTCTGTCTCTGGCACAGTGAAAAGCAGCTTTTGGGATAGCGATTGCTCAAACAACCCAGGTTCTAGACCGATTGTGATGATACTAATCCACAACTGATGTGTAGTATAAGGGAAAAAATAAATATTTGTCGGTTTAAGCTATTGAGTTTTTTTAGAGTTGTTTGTTACATAGCATAACCTAATGCAACTGACATATACACCTTATGAATCTTGAGGCAAAGTCAACTTCAAACTAAATAAGATGAAAATGTGAGAAACTCATGATCCCAATTTCCATTGCAGCTTAAGTTCTGTTCTCAGCTGCACCAATTAGACTCTTTCACTGCGAACTGTGTATGAGAAGCTGATAATGATGTTCAAGATGAGGAAAATTTTCTCCTGCAGCAGTGGCAGTACCGTACCAGTAATCAAATTTCTGACTTTCAGACCAGAGTTAACTAACTGAACCCAGGCAAAATCCTTGCCGACCCAAAAGCCAGTAAGTAAGAAAAAAAATATTTGCTGTTATACATCACTGAAAATTTGAAGTTGTTTGTAATTTAAACAAAATACATACATGAAGGATAGAACAGAATACTATGTCCTCTCCATGGTTTGCTGACAATCCATCAATCTACCCTGAACAAATGATTCTTTCATTTTACAAGGGATCCCTCCTCTAATGCAACTTGAAAGAAAATAAATGCAAATGAAGTCTTATGTAAATGATACCGGACTTGAGTGCATTGTATAGGTAGGTCAGTGTTCTTAAGAGAGTTAATACCACCCTTTAGAGGACACTTTGGGAATTGGGGGTGAGGGGGTAAAGAATTGCTGCAGCTTAGTGGAGGAGGGACCAGAGGTGCTAAACATCCTGAAATGCACAGTGCAATCCCATACCTTAAAGAATTACCCCAGGTTATACATAACTTTTGAATGTCCTTCCAAACATTCATGTAGGTAAAAAGCCTGTTTATAATTGTCTGAGCCTAGAACTCAGCTTTACACATAAGTACAA